GTCGGAGACGAGGCTCGGGGGACGCTTCCCGACGATTCCAGGGAGGAATTCCCGATTCCCACCGGGAAGGGTTTCCCTGGATCTGATGCCAAAGCCGATCGGTCCCGCTGGACCCAATTCCTTGGAGAGAGAAATAAAGGATTGCCGGAAGCTCGGGAGAGTCTGGAATCTTCCCGCGGGATATGGGGAGGGAGGAGGGGCTGGGAAAGGAGGATCCCGATCCCCTGGGATCGCAGCTTTGCCTCCAGTAATTCCCTCGGGATCTGGGAGAGGAGGATTGCCGGAAGCTCGGGAGAGTCTGGAATCTTCCCGCGGGATATGGGGAGGGAGGAGGGGCTGGGAAAGGAGGATCCCGATCCCCTGGGATTGCGGGATCACAGGATCGCCTCCAGTAATTCCCTCGGGATCTGGGAAAGGAGGATCCCGATCCCCTGGGATCACGGCTTTGCCTCCAGTAATTCCCTCAGGATCTGGGAGAGGAGGATTCCGATCCCCTGGGATCGCAGCTTTGCCTCCAGCTATTCCCTTGGGATCTGGGAGAGGAGGATTCCGATCCCCTGGGATCGCAGCTTTGCCTCCAGTAATTCCCTCGGGATCTGGGAAAGGAGGATCTCGATCCTTTGGGATCTCAACATCATCTCCAGTTCTTTTCCTCAGGATCTGGGAGAGGAAGACCCCAATTCTTTGGGATCTCAGCTTTGCTTCCAGTCCTTCCAGCGGAGGACTGGGAGAGGAGGATCCCGATCCCCTGGGATTGCGGGATCGCAGGATCACCTCCAGTAATTCCCTCGGGATCTGGGTGAGGAGAATCCCGATCCCCTGGGATCTCAGTTCCTTCCCTTGGGATTTGGGACAGGAGGATCCCAATCCTTTGGGATCTTGGCTCCTTCCCTCGGGATCTGCGGGGGGTGGAGGGCTCAGAGAGGAGGATCTGGATCCTCTGGGATTCTCCCTCGCTGCCACTCCAGCAGGGACTGGGAAACGCTGGATTTTCCTTGGGATAAGGCTCGACCCCACTCCTGAGCTTTCCCGGGATGAGGGAGAGGAAGGGAGGAGAGGACGTGGCTCGGAGCTCATCCAGGGATTTCCTTTGGGAAAAGGAATTCCTGGAGCAAGGCCAAGCTGGACAGGGCTTGGAGCAGCCGGGAATGGAGGGAAGTGTCAGGGTGGGAATGGGATGGAATTCCAGGGCCCTTTCGCTTTGTCCTGCCCTGCGGCCCTTTCCCAAATCCCAACTCTCCCGGAGCCCCTGGAGCCTCGGGAAGCGGCTCCCAGGATTCCCGGGATCCTTCCCTGATCCGGCTGCACATTCCCGGCTCTGCCAGCCTGGATCCAGAGCATCTCCATGTCCCTCCTTTCTTTCTGCCCCTGGAATTCAGCTCAGGGGGGATGTTCATGGATCCATCCATCCATCATCCATCCATCCATCCATCCATACATCCATCCATCCATCATCCATCCATCCATCCATCCATCATCCATCCATCCATCCATCCATCCATCATCCATCCATCCATCATCCATCATCCATCATCCATCATCCATCCATCCATCCATCCATCATCCATCATCCATCCATCCATCCATCCATCCATCATCCATCCATCCATCATCCATCCATCCATCCATCCATCGCATCTCCATGTCCCTCCTTTCTTTCTGCCCCTGGAATTCAGCTCAGGGGGGATGTTCATGGATCCATCAACCATCCATCCATCCATCCATCCATCCATCCATCCATCCACCCCTGGATCCTTTAATCCCATCCCACTTTCCATGCCCAAATTCCCGATGGAGAAGGGTCGGGAGCCTGGATTTTCCCAGGGCTGGGACACAAAGCCCAGCCCCCTCCACAAACCATTCCCAAGGGATCCAGAGGGATCCACAGGGGCACGGCGGGAGCAGAGGAGCCTCCGGGCAGATTCCCGGAGTTCAGATTCCCAGATTCAGGAATCCTGAGCCATTTTTTTTCCCCTCTTAAAGCCGTGAAATTTTCCCTGCCAGCCTTATCCCAAATATTTACAATCCATCGGAGCCACTCAGAATTCCTGCCCGGTGCTGGGGGAAACTCATCCCAAAGCTCATCCCAAAGCTCATCCCAAAGCTCATCCCAAGGCTCATCCCAAAGCTCATCCCAGTTCTCATCCCAAGGCTCATCCCAAGGCTCATCCCAGTTCTCATCCCAAAACTCATCCCAGTTCTTATCCCAAGGCTCATCCCAAGGCTCATCCCAAAGCTCATCCCAAGGCTCATCCCAGTTCTCATCCCAAAGCTCATCCCAAAGCTCATCCCAAGGCTCATCCCAGTTCTCATCCCAAAGCTCATCCCAAAGCTCATCCCAGTTCTCATCCCAAAGCTCATCCCAAAGCTCATCCCAAAGCTCATCCCAAAGCTCATCCCAAAGCTCATCCCAAAGCTCATCCCAAAGCTCATCCCAAGGCTCATCCCAAGGCTCATCCCAAGGCTCATCCCAAGGCTCATCCCAACTCCTCCGGGAACAGGAAGGAAATGTCGTTATCCCGGCAGGAAAGGGGGTGGGAAACAGGGAAAAATTGGGAAAACTGAAGAAAAAAAAATTAAAGGAAAAACGGGGCTGGATCGGGATCCAAGGGCGGTTTTGGAGATCCGAAATTTAATTATTTAAAAAAAAAAAAAAAAAAATCCTTATTCCGTGTTTAAATTTTTTCTTGGAAAATTCCTTTTTCCCAAGGAATGAAAAAACCTCTGGGAGATGATGCTGGGAAGGGGAATCCTGGAATTTTGGGTCCTTCCAGGTCACATTTGGGTCCCCCAGGGTCACATTTGGGTCCTTCCAGGGAAAGGGAATGGGAATGGGAATGGAAAAACAATTCATCACCGGCTGCAGGGGAGGCCCAGGGGGGATGGGGGGAATTATCCCGGGTCTATCCCGGGTTTATCCCGAGTTTATCCCAGGTCTATCCCGGGTTTATCCCGGGTCTGTCCCATGTTTATCCCGGGTTTATCCCAGGTCTATCCCGGGTTTATCCCGGGCAGGTTCATTCCCGGTTTATCCCAGGTTTATCCCGAATTTATCCCAGGTTTATCCCGGGTTGGTTCATTCCCGGTTTATCACGGGTTTATTCCAGATTTATCCCAGGTCTATCCCGGGTTTATCCCGGTTTATCCCAGGTTTATCCCGGTTTATCGCAGCCGGGCCCTGCAGGTCCCGAATCCCGGGATCTGCTCCCGGCGATCCGGGTCCCGCTCCGCCAGCGCCACCTGCCGGACACGGGGGGACACGGGGGGGGAATTCCCGGGATGGGAACCACCGGGACAGAATTCCCGGGACAGAATTTCCGGGATGGGAACCACCGGGACAGAATTCCCGGGATGGGAACCACCGGGACAGAATTCCCGGGACAGAATTCCCAGGACAGAATCACCGGGACAGAAGAAGGTGTGGTTCCATATCAGCCCCTCCCATTTCCTCGTGAGCGTGGCCGGACCGAGAAGGGCGGGGTCTCCATCGGGGCGTGGCCATGGGCGTGACCCTTTGGGGGCGGGGCCAAGGCTCGCGCTCCTGCTCCTCCCCGGCTCTATCAGAGCCCTGGCGGCCGAGTGAGACCCCAAAAATCCCCCGGGACCCCCCGAACACACCNGGGATGGGGACAGCCCCTGGCACCGGGATCCGTGTCCTGGAACAGCCCCTGGCACCGGGATCTGTGTCCTGAACATCCCCTGGCACCGGGATCTGTGGCCCTTGGGATGGGGACAGCCCCTGGCACCGGGATCTGTGTCCTGAACATCCCCTGGCACCGGGATCGGTGGCCCTTGGGATGGGGACAGCCCCTGGCACCGGGATCGGTGGCCCTGGGGCCGGGATCTGGGTCTGTGGGATTGGGACAGCTCCTGGAACCTGGATCTGTGTCCCAAAGGATGGGAACAGGCCCTGGCACCCGAATCCATGTCCCTGGCACCGGAATCTGCATCCCTGGCACCGGGATCCGCGTCCCTGGTACCAGAATCCATGTCCCACGGGATCAGGACAGGCCTGGCACTGGGATTTGTGTCCCTGGCACCGGGATCCATGTCCCTTGGGATGGGAACAGCTCCCGGCCCTGGAATCCATGTCCCTGGCACTGGGATCCACATCCGTGGGATGGGGACAGGTCCTGGCACTCAGATCTGTGTTCCTGGCACCGGGATCCGCATCCCACGGGATCAGGACAGGCCCTGGCACCGGGATCCATGTCCCTGGGGCCGGGATCTGGGTCTGTGGAATCGGGATAGCTCCTGGCACTGGGATCCACATCCCACGGGATCAGGATGGGCCCTGGCACTGGGATTTGTGTCCCTGGCACCAGAATCCATGTCCCTGGCAGTGGGATCTATGTCCATGGGATGGGGACAGGCCCTGGCACCCGGATCCGTGTCCCTTGGGATGGGAACAGCTCCTGGCCCCCAGAATCTGTGTCCTGGCACTGGGATCCGTGTCCCATGGGATCGGGACAGGCCCTGACGCTGGGATCCGTGTCCCTTACACCAGGATCAGAGTCCATGAGATGGGGACAGGCCCTGGCACCCAGATCCGTGTCCATGGCACTGGGATCCGCATCCCATGGGATCAGGACAGGCCTGGGCACCCAGATCCGTGTCCCACAGGATGGGGACAAGCCCTGGCCCCGGGATCCACGTCCTGGCACTGGGATCCACGTCCTGGCACCGGGATCCACGTCCCTGGCACCGGGATCCATGACCCTGGCACCGGGATCCACGTCCTGGCACCGGGATCCATGTCCTGGCACCGGGATCCATGTCCTGGCACAGGGATCCATGTCCTGGCACCGGGATCCATGTCCTGGCACCATGATCTGCATCCCCCGGGACAGGGAGAGACCCCCAAACCCTGGGGGGGCTCCCGCCGGATCAGATTCGGGACTGGCGCCGGATTCCTCAACTCCACAATTCCACAGTGACCAAACCGAGGCTGTTTTCCCCTTGGGATTATCCCAAAAAACTCCGGGAGCAGAGCCAGGGGCTTCAGCGGCTTCGACTCTACCTTTATTTCCCGTCCGGGGCCCCGGCGGCTCCCGGCAGCAGCGGGAAGGGTCGGGAAGGGCGCGGTGACAATTCCCCCCTGGAAGGGGGATCCGGAGGGGCGGCGGCATCGCCCGGCTACTCTCTGGGAAGGAAGGAAAAAAATGGGGATGAGCCCGGCGTTATCCCCCGGCGGGGGTGTTTTCTGGGAAGCGGCCGGACTCACACGGCGTTCTCCTTGAAGCGCTGGAGCGCCTGCTCGGCCACCGTCTCCATGAACCTGGGATCATCCCACGGGATCTCCCCGGGCACGCTCAGCTCCAGCGGCTCCGAGTCGAAGAGCTGCACCGTCACCTGCGTGTCCGGCGGCGCCGACGGATCCTCGGGATTGGGAGCCTTGGAAAGCACCTGGAAGCGCCGCGCCGGGGTCATCCCGCGGGATAATCCCGAGCTCCGAGGTGGGAACGGCCCCGGGAGGGCCCCTGAGCTTGGCTCCCATCCCGGTGTTCCCGGCCGGAGCACAAAGGGCTCTTTGTGGCCGTGTCCCACTTTCCGCCTCTCCCGGCGTTCCCGAGGCCGAGGCTCACCGTGGTAACCTGCAGGAAGCCGTCGGATCCCATGGAATGGTTGGCCAGGCGGGACACCCAGCCGAACTGGCGGTTCAGCCGCTCCAGGAGGCCGGAGGTGTTGAGCATCTCCTGCTGGAATTCCCGGAGCAGGGAATCGTAGCGGCGCGTGAAGCGCTCGGCCACGCGCACGGCGTCCTCCAGCTGCTGCCGCAGCTCCTGCTGGGACGGGTCCTCCTGCCCGCAGTCTGGGATAACAGCGGGAAAACAACGGGAAAACAACGGGAAAACAATGGGATAACAAGGGGATAACAAGGGGATAACAAGGGGAAAACAAGGGGAAAACAAGGGGAAAACAAGGGGAAAACAACGGGATAACAAGGGGATAACAATGGGATAGCAAGGGGATAACAACGGGATATCAATGGGAAAATAAGGGGAAAATAAGGGGAAAACAAGGGGAAAACAACAGGAAAACAATAGGAAAACAACGGGATAACAACGGGAAAACAATGGAATAATGGGAACATGGGATGGGATGGGATGGGATGGGATGGGATGGGATGGGATGGGAT